GGATTAGCTCTATCTAGTGGGCCCAACTGTGTAGGAACCTGAAGACGGAGATAGAGTCCCATCTCCGAAACGTCGTTTTACGTTTTATATTTACTAGACGATGGATAATATCCAAGGAAATTTTTATTCAATTGACTCTTCACCATCGTCAAGAAGTTTTAGATCTGATATACACCTTAGTAAATGTGTTGGTTGGTGACGGATTCGCCCATTTGCATGTGATATCTCGATTCGTAATCCTAAGAAATTAATCTCATCTGCCGTGATTGCCAACCCCTCGGCCAATAGTTGTGGCACAGAAGTTACTAACTCCGCCAACTGCTTAATAAATAGAACCCTACATTACCGACAATGTATCTCTTCAAAGTTATGACTCAATAAAACGCCCCATCAGACATCACCCTTCCTCCTTTCCTTCCTTAAATAGGCTATATAATAGTTTCTTAACACATAAAAACACAAAAGCACCGCCCCCCGTATGCCCGAGTATCAAAAAAGTTTTTAAAATCCAGTTCATCTCATTCTGTGACATATCAGCCAGTCCTTTTACCTTCATCATTCCTTCTGACGAGACGAAAACATCTAGACTTACTACAAAAACATACACTTCTCTCTCTCTCGAAAGACATAAAAGTGGATGCAACCCTTGTATAAAGGAGAAGACACCCTTGTCGGCACACAGAGAAAACAGGGGTAAGTTGCATGCACAGCTTTATTTGTTTGTAGAAGACTTAGATTCCACAAACAAATCTTCTCTGTACTTGTAACTAGTGGGCTTTGAGACAGACCGCCCGCCCGCCCGCCATGGCCTTCTGAGTACATGTTGCGATACAAACACAAGAGTTTCCATTTTCAGACGCTTGGGGCGCATAGCTCATTCCTAAAGCATCTGGATCCAAACCAAAAACTCCATATGAGTTGGGTGACAGATATCAATGAATTTTGTGGCTGCAAAATATTCAACCAACTACACAAATAGCAATAATTAAGAAGCTAGTAGTTGCTCAGTTAGTCAAGACGTTCACTGTCTTTTATTCAACCTGAAAATCCATTACTGTTCCTACTAAACGCTGATTTAAGCACGCACGAATCCATTTCAAATCTACACACTTCACCGATCTATCTTAAGATCCATTATAATAGTACCATCTTTCTACGCATTTTATTAAATTTCTGTCTGCACTTCATTGCTTCAATGGAGGGTACATTCCCCGTCCATCTCACCCTCCGTAATTTTATATTTCCGTAGGAGCACCTCATGTAAATAAACCACTTTGGAGAGCTAAATGTAGATGGAAGGATAACATTAGAATTCAGCTTGGAGAAATAAGATATACGAGGGATAAATTGATTGAACTGAACCGGGATAGAATCCAACTGTCGATTTTTGTGAATAAGGAGATGAACATTAAGTGTAAATGTAGGAAATTCCTTGGCCAGCGGAATGTCAATAAACTTCCGGAAGTAAAACTTGAACCTTGAAATTAATACAAGGGTAAATACGTAAAATAATGAAGGAAAATTAATAATAGGCAAGGTTTGGTTTTGAAATACAGTCACTGTAATGATACATCGGTAAAACCGTACATAAGCTTCAAAACAAGACGGTATTTGAAGTTTGTAAGAGAAAAGCCTAATTTAATAACTGCATTCTGCATGTAGACATATTAAAATCATTGCAAAATTTACTAAGATATATTCAAAATAAATTCGCGAAAACGTTCCATGAAAGTCCATGGTGCGGACATGAATGTAAGAACGTACTGATGATCTCTAATAGAACATAAACTGCATAATCAGAGAAATTTCTCCAGCGATTAAAAAACTGCGCAAACCTCAAAGAGCAGACTGAATACTGCGGGCGAGAGCTTACTTGTTTTGGAGCGCGGTTCCCGGGGTCCGTCCACCGTCACTTTGATCGCCTTGTTGTACGTCGCCATCTGCGGGGGCGAGGAACTCACTGTGATCGTCAGCGTAAAACTCTTTCCTGCAACAAGACACAGTCAATTGCTAATATAATAGCCAGTGTCCGTCAGTGCACAGACCGCCCCATGCGGAAACAATTGAAACTAAATTATAAAGGTGGCGATTATGGCAGCAATACATTAACGAGAGGATATGGTGGCGCCTATGATGGGGTCTGGCGAAGTCTGTGTTTGGCGAGAGTCTGGAGTCGAAAGGTCGTAGGTTTTATTTTGGTGATTTTTGCAAGAATGTGGTTTCCGTCACCGCGAAGATGTTTTCACTTTTAACTGATTTTGTAAATACATTATATAAATTTGTACTTTATATTATATTTGGGGAGATAATGTTGTAATAAATTGTACCGCCGTTTAACTCAAAAAAGGTCCATTCCTATCAACTTTGATAAGTCATATTGCAAAATATATACCCTATTCTATGATACTTATTTAAGGTTTGTTTACCTTTGTGCGATGAACAGTTCAGAGCTCATATTTATTTAGCTTTGATTTATCAGCTGACGATGCCAGAAGCTCAGACTACGTAGCGTCGAATGAAAGTCTGAATAACGAATGAATTAATCAGAAAGGACTCGGGATGAACAGACCACTTAAAGTAGAAACATCTTAGAATGAAGACACAGATTAAAGCAAAGGCAGTGGCCTAATTTTCGTTACATTCTGCATTTGCCTGGAAGGACTGCATAAAAACATAGAAACCCTGAATAAGGCTAGTCTGTCTCCGGGTTTAAATCTGAAACCGAGACCTCCAGAAAGCGAAGCAGGAAGGCCAACCGCACAGCACCTAGACTTTTTATCTGGAATAATAAATTTGTATCTTTGATTACGAGGTGCGATCGGAAAGTTTCAAGACTGTGTCAATAGAGGGCGAACCGGATGTAGTACGAGCTTCTGCCGCTAGGGGGTGCGGCCTACATTCATAGTGAATCAGTGGCCCAGCCGGCATCATCGAATTAGCATTTGTTTCTTAGTTACGGGCGTTTTGGTAGTGCATTACACCGACCCTCCTGCGATTTCGGAATGGCGTGTGCATCAAATTTTGCCAAAGACTCGCCAAAACGGCTAAGGAAACCTATGAAATGCTAAAGCAAGCATTTGGGGAGTCCGCAAACTTTTGTGTGGCATTCACGTTTTAAAAAGGGCCGGCCGAACCTCTGTCGATGATGACGAGAGTTCTGGACGACCATCTTCGAGCACAACGCCCGAAAAAGTTACGAAGATCGACGTCGTACCATCAACGACTTGTGCGACATTGTTGGGACCTGTCAGCTGATTCTAAAGGAAGAACTCCACATGCGACGCATCCTGTCAGAGGACCAGAAGCAGAATCGACTTCTCGTTTGTCAGGAGCTCAAAGATCTTGCAAGAACCGACCCCAACTTCCTTTCTAAGCTCCGTGTGACTTCTTCCTCTTCCCAAAGATGAAAATTCAGCTAAAGGGAAGGAGATGTGAGACGATAGAAGAGATTCAAGCAGAATCGCAGATGGTGCTTGACAGGCTGACAAAGAAAGATTTCCAGGGATGCTTCCAGGCTTGGCAGCGGCACTGGGATCGTTGTGTTCACTCCCCAGTAATTTTAAGCAAAAGCCAAGGACAATATGGCGTGCAGTGTCGCAACCAATCCCAGTGGAGCAGATCCTTCTAGATTTATTATTTACGACAGAAGAACAACGCTGTATATGAGAGCCAATAGAGAGTTCTCTGACCGTACTCGTTCCGTGCGCCATGTTTTGAGTCACTCAATGGTGTCAAGCTTCTATTTATGTATCGGGCACTGTAAGAAGCTGGGTTCTAATCGATGTGCCCTAGTCGAGAAATATCGCACGCGACGTGTTCCGATAATGCGCACACAATGGCTCGTACCAATTTCAAAACAAAGTTCCAGACACCAACAGAATGTGCACTAAAGTTTCAGGGAATAAAATGTAGTTCACTAGCTGACGACATCACCAAATCATGTGGTTTTACTAAAGTTGCCTAAAGTGTAGACGTTTTTAAAATTGTGTGCTCAACACCATGTTTATGTATTGGGGAAGATTTCAGGTTTTCTCGGAGCCTAGAATGAAGATGACTGTCTTCTGGGTTGCTGAGCCGAGTAAGTTTATCGACGTTTCAGGGGTGCTTTCTGCCTGTATCATTAGGAATACTGCGCCTTGTCGTCTGGTACAAGTTTAACAGCGTTTCAGATATACCTGCTGCCTCCATCATCAGGGAGATGAGTCTTCGCCCTGATGATGAAGGCAACAAGAGCCTATGAACCATAAGTTGACTATAGTTCCACTGCAATTTCAAATTCACTCGTTGTAAGTCGTACAAGTCAGAATTAATCGATCCAATTCTTAAAGATTAGGCAGGATATGTAATATCGAGGCACGAATCCAGGGCACTAGACAGAGCATAAATTGTTCTAAGATGGAGTTCAGTTCATCGCCAGAGGCTGTACCAACCTCCATGCGTGTTTAAATGAAATATCGTATTTTTAACAAAACATTTTAATCATGGCTTACAAGGCTACACGCGGAGCTTCGAAATTACGTGATCACTCTATTAAAACGACAGATAAAACCCCACCGCCGCTCGTGTTTTAAAAATAAAAACTCTTTCTATTAAATGGCTCGTACATAGCAGAGGGTCAGATGACAGCGATTTCATTATTTTTTCATGGCATTGCCCAAACTGTTGTCACGAGCGGAGTCCGCTTCGTGGACACGAGCGGAGGCGACGTTGGAAGCGTCTGTCTGTGACGGACGCTACTGCTCACTCCGACTTCATCCGTTAATTGTAATTAAGTTAAAAGATGCAAATCAGACTAACGATCTCTGGCATTAAAGACGGAAGTGATAAAGATAGAAACCAGGTTCACAATTTCGCTTATTTGATCTCGTCTTATTAATTATTATCTACAACAACGTTACAATCAGTCACGATGTTAAAGGAGCCAAATACTATTTATTTAGTGTTCTGTCTGACGACAGGTCCATATGAACAGCATCCTTCCATCCTTTTCTCGGACTGGGACCTGTTCATATACGTTCTTGGCAGATGATCCAGAAGTGGTTTGCCATTGCCTTCTTCTGTGTGTGAATGGAGTAATTGTTGGGATGCCACGGAGAAACCGGGGAAGAAGCCCCCGGAGGAAAACTCCGTGTTGCCTAGACCACGAAAAATAAATCTTTTATATCACTTTGTCTCTGTTAGTCTGTATACAAGGCAGGAAGAATTAAACAAATATATTAAAAAGTAATATCCTGAAGAAAAACACAAGTGATGAACAAGGACACAGGGGATAGAGAGGGAGGGAGTGAGAAAGACAATAAAACTTTGGGACAGTTTAAAATGGCTCAAGGAAATTGTCACGAGACTTCAGTGGGGAGCAAATAATCTCTCAGGTTTCCGCTCCTGGCAAATGTTTTCACAACCCTCCGAAGTTAAGTGACTGAACGCACGTTTCTTCGAGGAAAGACGCTCTAAAAGCTGTCAGAGAAAGGGCTCTTAAATAACCTTGTAATTACAAGTCATCTCTCCTGAAAATAAAAAACAAATCACACGATAAGGGGGTGGATTATTCACGTACATGTTTTCTCTAAAAATACAAGTAACTGCGATTCAAACGCATGTTAATAGAGTCGTGAGTTTGATTCCGGGCTGGGTCTGGGGGACTCTCCCTTCACCATCAGGCACAGGCAGGCTCCGGGACCAACATCCCGGTATTTGGGGATATTCCTCCATGTGTTCGGCTGAGTTTGTCAATTTCTTCTACATTTGAATCTCCTTTCAAATATAAGCGCCATGGAATGTCTCTGTTCCATACAGCTGAGTCCGTTCGGATCTTGTTGGAGGGTCGCAGACACCATGGTAACTGGTACCACAAGTTTGGGTGTGTGTGTGGGGGGGGGGGCGGG